CACAAGCCAGAGCCTAAATACTAAGGAATAGGGTTCGGTTCCTTTGAAGGTTCTTTCAGGGGTTCTCCTGCCGAGCCGTAAACCCGAAGGCCTACCCTTCTTACTTGTTTAGGGTTTAGAGTTTAGGGTTTAGGGTTTTGGGTTCAGGGTTTAGGGTACTTTCTTGAGAGCCCAATACCCTTAGATAAGGAATATACCTTAAATTATAAGCACTTTGCTTAAAAGCTTGTGGTCGGAGGATGGCAAATGTGTTTGCATCTTCGGCAAGGTATCTTGCAGGTTTCTAGCAGTTGGCACAAGTTGGCACCTGCAGGCAAGTACGAGCAATCTTCAAGACGGATTCGCACAGAAACTCCCCAGCAAATTTTGGTAGTGTTTCACGCTAGCTGGTTTTGGAGCAGGTTGGCTGCAAGCTTGTTACCGCATGTTCAGGTGAATGTGCGGGAGATCGATATGACTACGTTTCTTGGATGCGCCTTTTTTGGTTCGTGGGTTTGTTACTTCCTAAACCCTAGGGCACCCTGACCCTAAACCCCAAACCCTGGCCGTGACAAATCCGGGCTTTAGCCCTCCGGCTCTCCCAACCTTTGAGGGTTCCAGGGCTTGCGATGCAATGTGTTAGGGTTTAGGGTTTAGGGTTTAGGTTTTAGGGTTTAGGGTTTAGGGTTTTAGGGTTTAGGGTTTAAGGTTTAGGGTTTAGGGTTTAGGGTTTAAGGTGATAGCGAAGAGGATGAGTTATCATCAGGACCAGAGTGGTTTCAAACGATGGCACAGACACGGAATTGAGATCGAGATCCAGGTGAACACGATGACCGCGAGGAAAATGGTCCAAAGTTATGACGACTCTGGTAAAGGAGTGCTTATGGCGAGGTGATTATATGTTGGGATGTTTAGTGCTGCTTCTGGTACTTGTGATGGTCATGACGACGATGATGAGCGTGGTTTTGCTAAAGAGGATGATGGTGTTGATGGTAGTTGAGAGACCGGGGCGAAGGAGGAGGAGGAGGAGGATAGGGAAGAGGAGGAAGGGGAGGAGCATGAGAATGTAGCTGCCTTAATTATTACGGCAGGTTCGGGGGGTATATATTGTAGTATGGTAATAGGATAGTTTTGTAATCAGTTATGCAGGCTTCTACATCAGTTGTTTCGACACCTTTGACATCTTACCCATCCATCTTAAGTCACGGACCTTGATCCTGTGCGCTTGACTCAAGCGCAAACACTAGCGACGCAGAGTTCCCGCGTTCCAGCCCTTTGGCCATCAATCTTCTCAACTTCTCAAAAGCCTAAGCTCTACAGCCCCCACGGTTTCCTAAGCCCTGAACCCAAGCCCCTAAACGCTAAACCCCAAACCCTAAACCCTAAACCCTAAACCCTACGCTACACCTTTAATGAAAGCCCTGTAGCCTGGTCCAAGACAAGGAAGATCCTCGGCGTTCCGGCCTCGATCCCGCTTTACTTCACTGCCACAGCGCTTGCCAAGCTCGCCCATCAGGAGTTTCATGGTTGCGGGGTTAGGGTTTAGGGTTCAGGGTTTAGGGTTTAAGGGTTTAGGGGTCAGGGGTTAGGGTCTAGGGGTTTGGGGTTTAGGGTTTAGGGTTTGGGGTCTAGGGGTTCAGGGTTTAGGGGTTAGGGTCTAGGGGTTTAGGGTTTAGGGGTTTAGGGTTTAGGGTTTAGGGTTTAGGGTCAGGGTTTGGGATTACGGCAGATGCCTCCTGTGTTCTGGGCCGTGGATCTTGAGCTTTCTGAAGACAAGGTCTTTGGAATTAAGGGTCTTCTCGACGCTGTATGCAGATATAATGATAATCATGTGTGTGTATATATATATATATACACGTATGTTTACGTATTTACGTATTTATTAGTTTATGACATACAGGCACTTCACAGTAACATAGACACGCACATATACATATGTATATATATATACACACATACATACACACATACATACACACATACGCATAATATTTGCATTTATGCATGTATGTCTGGATGTTACACGTATGTGTGTATGTGTAGAAGTATACGTATATTTGTGTGCATAAGTATACATACCAATATTACGCAAATGTGCACATGCATCAACATCAGGTGTTTACGCACATATGAAAAATAATGCGTGCTTGCTTGTTGACCCTCTTGGGGAGTCCTTTGAATTTCAACATGACGACGTTGTTTAGGGTTGAGTGTTTTGCAGGCTCTGTGTAACGTTGGCATGACTCTTAAAGTCTGCATGAGGGCTAACTTGTGTAAGTTCAGACGGGTAATATTGTTTTGCCAGAGGGGGTTGATCTAATGTAATGAAACTGTCTGTCTTGCTGGCAAGTCTTGCAACTGCACTTTACTTACGTATACTGGTTGGTCAGAAAACAAAGCGTTGGTTTGCGATATCTACTGTCACGACAATCCTATACAGTTTCGCAGAAAAGGATTTCCCGCTTCAGTTGCCTGCGTACAACACTGGCTTATTATGACCTTTCCTACTAGGACTAGGACTTACCACAACCCTCCAGGTACCTACTATATAGGGCCCTAGGGGCTCTAGTACCCTATATAGTAGGTATCTGGGGGGTTAGGGTTAGCTATGATCTTTCGTGATGGTATTTCCTTACAGAGCCTTCGGGGTTGTCTTCATGGGAGCGCAGGCGCCCGATGAAAGATGACAGTTTGGGCTGCTGTTGCTCTCCCTAATGTCCTGGAGCACTACATGTGCGTACTTGTCGGGGGATTTTCGGGGTAGGAGTGATCAGGGGCTTAGGGTTATGGCACATTAATGTGGCTCAACATAGAACCTCATAAACCCTAGAAGCCCTAAACCGTAAAGCCTGAACCATATAAGTCCTTGGAGCCTGAGGGTCAGGGTTTGCGCATCAGGGCTGAAAGTTAGAAAAAAGTCCGGTGCAGAATTGCAAGCGCTTGTACCTAGACCCCAAAAGTATGTAAACTAATAGCCTTTTTTATAGGTCTTGGGCAATTATTTCGCTTATTTTTAGGGGTTTAGGTAGTGATGCCAAAGCTGGTCACTGTCGATATTTACTTCGGACTCGCTGTGCTTGGTCTTGCAAGCCTTCCCATGGCTGCCTGCCTACCTTAACCTACCAAAACCTAGTTTTTGTAGGTTCTTATTATAAACCTTAATATGGAATTTATAGGGACCCTACAAAAAAGTAGCTCTTGGTAGGTTAAGGTATATTGAATTCCTTGCCCTGTAAGGCTCCAAAATTGCCCAAGGACCTGACTGGTTTGAGAGCCACAAAACACAAGTCCTTAGAGCGCCCGGTTTAAGCCCGCCTGCAACCTCTACGAAACAAAAATGAACCCTGAACCTATCCATGTTGCCCCGGCCCCGCAAGAAAAAACAGCAGAGCAAAGAACACAACACCTACCGCATATAGACCACTGAATGCCTAGCTCTTACGCCCGCCAGAGCCAGAAATAGGGCCCACAGCCGTTCTAAACCTGAAATTCAGAACAAAAAACCTGCATATTTAGGTTTCCCTAAACCCTAAACCCTAATAGGGATTTGGTTGGGTCAGAGCCACATGCCTGGAGGAAGGCGAGCTCGCGATCGTGAAGGCGGCCGCCAGCATCTGAGGGTAAGGGTTCATAGGTTACCAACACCCCCCCAACATACGGTTGATCATATAAATCCTGCATTACCTTAAGGACCCGCCAGTATGGCAACTTTGGTATATTCCTTATTATGGGCAACATCAACTGCACCCCCCGCATTAGCCTCAGTAACCACTATTGAAGACCATAAGGCCTGGGGGGGGTGCTGGTAGGTTTGAGGGTTTGATGAGGCCAAGGCTTTTTGTAGGAACCAAAACACGACCGATACAAAATCGCTTGGGTGGGGTATTCCCACTCTTGCTTGCAAGCTGTATTCAACTCTGAAGTTTATGTTTCTGCGGAGCATGTGTTTCACAAGCTCCAAACCCTAATCCAGGGAATCTGCCCACATCTAGGGCTTGAGCGGGCTTCTCACGCGTGTTTCGGGGGCTCACCTCAAGCCTTGATACTGTATGAAGGTTTGAGGTGAGATTCATACAGCTTTAGCCCTACCCTGACCCGTAAAACTGGGTAAAATACTGGCCCGAACCTGAAAGTTATTCTACATACTTTTGGGGTCGAGGTAGACCCTACAACCTCGGTTCGCGCTTAAGAGCGCCCAGTCCTGACACCCCGGTTCCTTTTGGAACCTTGCGGACACTAAAGTCTTGAACCCCCAATCTACCTATGGTCTCCTTTGGGTTTAGGGTTTAGTCTCCAAGCGTTTATAGGATTTAGGGTTTTTGGTCCGACATACAAAGTTGGATAAACCAACAAAGGAGCTACAATGGAGAC